CMAWTTTYSKTTTKGGKTWACACTCAAAACCTTTTTTAAACAGTTAGAAACTGATGTACTGTGATAAAATGCCTGTTTAAAGCGGTATAAGTTTCAATTGTACAAAGATGTTTTGTTGCATTTGTGATAGAATGTTGCTTTGTAAGGCTTTTTTATAGAAAATATATGGGAAATATTTGCTTTGGGTTAACACTTTGATTCCACTTTCATCGGTCATCTTCACTTCCAAACAAGTTAAACTTTCCGAATAACAAGATTTTAGCCTTGTACAACAGCCTTTCTTCAAGAAAAGAAAATCACTGCTTGATTATGAAAAGAATTCTCTCATATTATATCTGAAAACCAGGCCATTTTAGATTAAACTGTTTCGCTAGGAGCAAATTTTGTTGAATTTTCTATTGGACTTGGCAATTATATCCCCCACATAAACAAGCAGTGACGTCATAGTGAAATAGGGCAATTGGAAACCTATTGTTATGTCCTCCAAATTAAAGTGCATTCTGACGAACGGCAAGGGGGCAAGGGCAAGGGGAAGGGATTGAAATTTGGATTTAAAGATTGATATTTTCGAGGATTTTGATTTTATGGCATAAGCATTTTACCCAAAATGGCTTTYACTGTACATTATACACTTATTGATCATTCATGCGAGTCTGTTATGGCAGAATAATGAAGTCGGGACTTTTAAGAATATCTGCCATAATAGGCGAGGATGAATCTTATAGGTATTTTATTATATCGAACATATATTTTTCAATAAAAAGATAACAATAAGTTCATTTGCAGTTCAAAAGAGCAGGTTTCATGATTCATTATAAATTAAAGTTATCCGGGAAAAGGATAAAATATAACGCGGGAACCGGGAAACTAGAAAAAATCTTACGTGATTCGGGGTATTGACATCGGCCGTGACTCGGGAATTACCGAATTAAATGTTCGGGGCGCGAGATTTTGGGAAACAATAGCATTCGGGATCCGGACCTTCCCTTTAAGACCCTGATAGTGGGTAATCATGGTCCATAAACACTGCTTTGTGATCCATAATATAGTAGCGATTACATTATTACTACGATTTATAGATTCACCTGGTTGGTGGCGTATAAAAATGCAAAATTATTTCACATTTTAGTTCGGATATTACCTTCGAAACCACGCATGACTGCTGACCACATTGATGATGTCTGGCATGACGTCGCTGGGTCTGTCAAAACATTGACTTTACTTCTCTTGTGTTATGCTTTAGCTCGGGGCAAAGGTTTTTATTATATATTTGACGTATATATTTAAAATTGGCATATTAAGATAAGTATTATGAATTATCAATATCTAATGATGAAAGATAAATAATACTAATATATAATCTTCGATGAAGTATCTATTTTTGTCTACTACTAAACATTGATACCTTTACATGTGAAAATATCATTTCAACTCTCGAAGTTAATATCGATCCGTATCCGGCCATGCGTGTTATATCCTCTATATATTCACTATCGTAGCGTGGTCAACAATGAATGACTTATAACAAATATTTTGTTAAATATCACCAACGTGCAATCGAGGAATAGTATAGATTATAGTTTCATTTTATTCTTTTTATTTATTAGATTTTCATTATTATTGTGATATTATTGTTATTTTTTGTATTTTAGGTGGAACTTACAAACACGCAGACGGCTGATATCCTCCAAATAGAAAACCAATCACGACTTGGGAACAATTTTTTAATGAAAACAGCAGCGTTTCCAAAAAAGTTACTAAATGAAAACAAACCTTCTGTTAATTCAACTGCCAAATAGCTGGTATTGAAACTGACCATTGAATATCGTCAAGGCTTTAGATGAAACAATCGAAAACTGAACAAAAACTTAGTAAAGAGGGGGGCAGAGGGGGGGGGCAAATATCTGCATCTGGCCTCTGAATCGTATAATTATGGATTTTTTAAACAGTTGAGTGAAATAAGGGAACGTTATTTTGACTGTCAAAAAGTTC